CGTGGCACAGGGCTTGGTGGAGCCTCATTCTGATGCCGCCATTGTCAGTGGCCATTTTAGACAGGTCCTCTTTGTTATGTATTCCACATGCTTACCTCAAACACCCCTTGCCTCTTGCTTAACGTGGCGGTTGCTCCTGTGGCCCCCTCAAGGCTCCAGTAGTACAGCTGGGACTTGCCACACGTGATGATCAGATTGGGTTCTGTGGGGTGGAAGATGGCGGCCAACACCGGCTCCGTGGAGCACTGGAAAGAGACACGTGTCATTGGCGTGATGCCATGTGATGTATTATGAGGCATGATCAGGAGGAGCACCTACCTTCACCTCGGTCACCTTCTGCTCACGCTGCCACTGCCACACAGACAAGACGTGGTCCCCGGATTCATCACATGCACACAAATGGCTGCCACCATCCTGCAAGGAGAAGAGAGGCTCAGGGGGGTCACATGGTTTGGGGAAGGGGTGTGGCCAGATGGCGGGAACACTCACTGTATTGGAGAGGCTCAGGGGGGGTCACATGGTTTGGAGGAGGGGTGTGGCCCCATGGCGGGAACACTCACCGTCTTGGAGCAGCTCAGGGGGTCACATGGTTTGGGGGAAGGGGTGTGGCCCCATGGCGGGAACACTCACCGTCTTGGAGCAGCTCAGGGGGTCACATGGTTTGGGGGAAGGGGTGTGGCCCCATGGCGGGAACACTCACCGTCTTGGAGCAGCTCAGGGGGTCACATGGTTTGGGGGAAGGGGTGTGGCCCCATGGCGGGAACACTCACCGTCTTGGAGCAGCTCAGGGGGTCACATGGTTTGGGGGAAGGGGTGTGGCCCCATGGCGGGAACACTCACCGTCTTGGAGCAGCTCAGGGGGTCACATGGTTTGGGGGAAGGGGTGTGGCCCCATGGCGGGAACACTCACCGTCTTGGAGCAGCTCAGGGGGTCACATGGTTTGGGGGAAGGGGTGTGGCCCCATGGCGGGAACACTCACCGTCTTGGAGCAGCTCAGGGGGTCACATGGTTTGGGGGAAGGGGTGTGGCCCCATGGCGGGAACACTCACCGTCTTGGAGCAGCTCAGGGGGTCACATGGTTTGGGGGAAGGGGTGTGGCCCCATGGCGGGAACACTCACCGTCTTGGAGCAGCTCAGGGGGTCACATGGTTTGGGGGAAGGGGTGTGGCCCCATGGCGGGAACACTCACCGTCTTGGAGCAGCTCAGGGGGTCACATGGTTTGGGGGAAGGGGTGTGGCCCCATGGCGGGAACACTCACCGTCTTGGAGCAGCTCAGGGGGTCACATGGTTTGGGGGAAGGGGTGTGGCCCCATGGCGGGAACACTCACCGTCTTGGAGCAGCTCAGGGGGTCACATGGTTTGGGGGAAGGGGTGTGGCCCCATGGCGGGAACACTCACCGTCTTGGAGCAGCTCAGGGGGTCACATGGTTTGGGGGAAGGGGTGTGGCCCCATGGCGGGAACACTCACCGTCTTGGAGCAGCTCAGGGGGTCACATGGTTTGGGGGAAGGGGTGTGGCCCCATGGCGGGAACACTCACCGTCTTGGAGCAGCTCAGGGGGTCACATGGTTTGGGGGAAGGGGTGTGGCCCCATGGCGGGAACACTCACCGTCTTGGAGCAGCTCAGGGGGTCACATGGTTTGGGGGAAGGGGTGTGGCCCCATGGCGGGAACACTCACCGTCTTGGAGCAGCTCAGGGGGTCACATGGTTTGGGGGAAGGGGTGTGGCCCCATGGCGGGAACACTCACCGTCTTGGAGCAGCTCAGGGGGTCACATGGTTTGGGGGAAGGGGTGTGGCCCCATGGCGGGAACACTCACCGTCTTGGAGCAGCTCAGGGGGTCACATGGTTTGGGGGAAGGGGTGTGGCCCCATGGCGGGAACACTCACCGTCTTGGAGCAGCTCAGGGGGTCACATGGTTTGGGGGAAGGGGTGTGGCCCCATGGCGGGAACACTCACCGTCTTGGAGCAGCTCAGGGGGTCACATGGTTTGGGGGAAGGGGTGTGGCCCCATGGCGGGAACACTCACCGTCTTGGAGCAGCTCAGGGGGTCACATGGTTTGGGGGAAGGGGTGTGGCCCCATGGCGGGAACACTCACCGTCTTGGAGCAGCTCAGGGGGTCACATGGTTTGGGGGAAGGGGTGTGGCCCCATGGCGGGAACACTCACCGTCTTGGAGCAGCTCAGGGGGTCACATGGTTTGGGGGAAGGGGTGTGGCCCCATGGCGGGAACACTCACCGTCTTGGAGCAGCTCAGGGGGTCACATGGTTTGGGGGAAGGGGTGTGGCCCCATGGCGGGAACACTCACCGTCTTGGAGAAGCTCAGACAAGTCACCGCTCTGTCAAAATGGCCGACTCCAATGACATGGAGGGTGCAGAGGCTGACGGAGTGCCAGATGCGGACATGAGGCGGCAGAGACTGCGGGAAGAGAACATACATGAAGATCTCACACACGCACACGCTTCCACATTGGAGGATTGGGCCATCGGGCAGGTCATACGTGTTCCGTGTTCCTTACCTTGCCATCCTGGGAGTTACCGGCCACTTGCCCGCTGGCGATGGTGACGGAGTCCGGATGGACGGCCAAGCTGTGGAAGACGGACAGACGTTACCTCACACACACACTTTCCTCCGGGGATGGAAGGGGCCACCACGTGGAAGGGGCCCCGGCATGGAGTTCTGACCTTTTGATGTCATCCGTGTGTCCTCGGTAGTGCCTCTGGGTGCCGGCCACGGGGTCATACAACACGCAGACGGCGGCGGTGAAGTACAGCAGCTCTCCGGACGGCAGGATGAAGAGGTTGCTGCGGCAGTCCCGGCCCCGGTACCCGTATCTGTGTACACGCCTCCAGTCAAGGTCTATAGACAGAACCACGGGGAAGGGACCGGATCAGAACCAGGGGGAAGGGCCAGATCAGAACCACGGGGAAGGGACCGGATCAGAACCAGGGGGAAGGGCCAGATCAGAACCAGGGGGAAGGGCCAGATCAGAACCAGGGGGAAGGGCCAGATCAGAACCAACACGGGGAAGGATACACCCAGTCCAGCTGCAGCTCTCTGCTGGGAACTTCTCCTTTCCCTTCGATATTATAGGAGGCCACCAGAGAGTCGGGAACATAGAGCGGGACGGAGCGCCCCCTCAGGACGCGGTCAGCAAGGGGGAGGGGGCACCGCGGTCAGCAAGGGGGAGGGGGCACCGCGGTCAGCAAGGGGGAGGGGGCACCGCGGTCAGCAAGGGGGAGGGGGCACCGCGGTCAGCAAGGGGGAGGGGGCACCGCGGTCAGCAAGGGGGAGGGGGCACCGCGGTCAGCAAGGGGGAGGGGGCACCGCGGTCAGCAAGGGGGAGGGGGCACCGCGGTCAGCAAGGGGGAGGGGGCACCGCGGTCAGCAAGGGGGAGGGGGCACCGCGGTCAGCAAGGGGGAGGGGGCACCGCGGTCAGCAAGGGGGAGGGGGCACCGCGGTCAGCAAGGGGGAGGGGGCACCGCGGTCAGCAAGGGGGAGGGGGCACCGCGGTCAGCAAGGGGGAGGGGGCACCGCGGTCAGCAAGGGGGAGGGGGCACCGCGGTCAGCAAGGGGGAGGGGGCACCGCGGTCAGCAAGGGGGAGGGGGCACCGCGGTCAGCAAGGGGGAGGGGGCACCGCGGTCAGCAAGGGGGAGGGGGCACCGCGGTCAGCAAGGGGGAGGGGGCACCGCGGTCAGCAAGGGGGAGGGGGCACCGCGGTCAGCAAGGGGGAGGGGGCACCGCGGTCAGCAAGGGGGAGGGGGCACCGCGGTCAGCAAGGGGGAGGGGGCACCGCGGTCAGCAAGGGGGAGGGGGCACCGCGGTCAGCAAGGGGGAGGGGGCACCGCGGTCAGCAAGGGGGAGGGGGCACCGCGGTCAGCAAGGGGGAGGGGGCACCGCGGTCAGCAAGGGGGAGGGGGCACCGCGGTCAGCAAGGGGGAGGGGGCACCGCGGTCAGCAAGGGGGAGGGGGCACCGCGGTCAGCAAGGGGGAGGGGGCACCGCGGTCAGCAAGGGGGAGGGGGCACCGCGGTCAGCAAGGGGGAGGGGGCACCGCGGTCAGCAAGGGGGAGGGGGCACCGCGGTCAGCAAGGGGGAGGGGGCACCGCGGTCAGCAAGGGGGAGGGGGCACCGCGGTCAGCAAGGGGGAGGGGGCACCGCGGTCAGCAAGGGGGAGGGGGCACCGCGGTCAGCAAGGGGGAGGGGGCACCGCGGTCAGCAAGGGGGAGGGGGCACCGCGGTCAGCAAGGGGGAGGGGGCACCGCGGTCAGCAAGGGGGAGGGGGCACCGCGGTCAGCAAGGGGGAGGGGGCACCGCGGTCAGCAAGGGGGAGGGGGCACCGCGGTCAGCAAGGGGGAGGGGGCACCGCGGTCAGCAAGGGGGAGGGGGCACCGCGGTCAGCAAGGGGGAGGGGGCACCGCGGTCAGCAAGGGGGAGGGGGCACCGCGGTCAGCAAGGGGGAGGGGGCACCGCGGTCAGCAAGGGGGAGGGGGCACCGCGGTCAGCAAGGGGGAGGGGGCACCGCGGTCAGCAAGGGGGAGGGGGCACCGCGGTCAGCAAGGGGGAGGGGGCACCGCGGTCAGCAAGGGGGAGGGGGCACCGCGGTCAGCAAGGGGGAGGGGGCACCGCGGTCAGCAAGGGGGAGGGGGCACCGCGGTCAGCAAGGGGGAGGGGGCACCGCGGTCAGCAAGGGGGAGGGGGCACCGCGGTCAGCAAGGGGGAGGGGGCACCGCGGTCAGCAAGGGGGAGGGGGCACCGCGGTCAGCAAGGGGGAGGGGGCACCGCGGTCAGCAAGGGGGAGGGGGCACCGCGGTCAGCAAGGGGGAGGGGGCACCGCGGTCAGCAAGGGGGAGGGGGCACCGCGGTCAGCAAGGGGTTAAATAATACGATGTCCTCAAAGCAAGGTGTATACACGCCAAAAAATCGGCGCACCGCGCAGGGGCTCTGGCCGGCGTCCATACACTCACTAAGAAAACACTGCTCCGCTGCGCATATCCACTCCAATGCCTTACCTCCAGCACTGAGTGAATCCGCGCCTATCGAGCGTGACGCAGAAACCCGACACTGAGAGACACGACAACGTTTCCAGAACAGTGCGTGACAGTGATCGGCGGCAGCGATTACCAGTCATTAATGAGAGAATAAAGCCGTTACCTACAAATACCGGACTGCTAAATAGTGATCCAATCCGGTATATGAGAGGGGGCGGAGTCAGGGATGTTACAATGTAAGAGCAGGGAGGGGGCGGAGTCAGGGATGTTACAATGTAAGAGCAGGGAGGGGGTGGAGTCAGTCCCGATGCGATACATTCCAGGGACAATGTAAGAGCACGGACGGGGCGGAGTCAGGGATGTTACAATGTAAGAGCAGGGAGGG